TGAATGCAGGAATGGAAGGACCTATGAGTTTTGACAGAAAGATAAAGAGAGATGACACAGAGAGACAGGCAGACAAACAAACAAAAAGATGGATAGATGCTTGGGTGAATGGAAGGAAGATGGGCTGACAGACAGACAGACAGACTGGTAGGTGGATAGAATGACAGAGACAAAGACTGACAGAAATGTAAGAGACAGGCACTTAGATGGATGTTAGCTTTGTTGACAGATCGATGGACAGACAGATAGACAGATAGATGGATAGAGACAAATAGACAGACTGGTGGGTGGGTGGGGATGTCAGTATTAGGAAGACAGATAGTTGGATCTATACACACAGTCAGAAAAAAAAAAAGACAAACCCATTACAGTAACAATTCACATCTACTGCCCCCTGTCAGATTTCTAAACATCTATAACACCAAACAAGAGCATAAATGACCTTGTGCCAACCTTGCCTCACAGATGCCAAACATCAAGACTTTTATCTCCAAGCTCTCTGTTGTGAGGTGTATCAAATTTCATGTCTCCATTTCCTATCCACCGTCCCCACTAATATTCTACACTGGCAAATAGCTCAGTATCACAGTCTCATAGAAACAATCTGACAGTTAGGATGCTGATAAAAACATCACAGCCTCTATGAGCCAGCTTGGCAATGCAGAACAAACTGGCTGAAAAATTAGTTTTGTTTGCTTTTATAATAGGTCACTTTTGTTTTGCACACAGATACCATTATTAGTGCCTCAGTCTTATTTTACAGATCACAGAACTTATGAACTACATCGCGTCAAGATGAAACAAAATCTAACTAACTCTGTCAGTACCAAAATGTAAGACTAAATATGATTCAGACACCTAGGGGGACGGTTGTTGCATGTTATATTTACATCTCAAAGTACCGAACATTTAGAAAGCAATGGCTAACTAATCAACACAAATATTGCCTAGTTTTTTTTTAAGTCTGTTTGCAATGTCTTGTAAATGTTATGCAAACCAACTTTTAACTTAGCATGGCTAAAAACTGTGACAACACAGATCTGTCTAAAGTAGTTCATCCATTAGTAATGCGTGAAAATAGTACAATTATGAGCTAAAAATGGCATGTAAAATGGACTCTTCAATAATCTTCTTCAAGTAAAAATCATCAGTTGCAGCACAGATAAATGGATGCTGAAATCTCGGTTAAATATTTCAAAAATTACCACTGTCAATGCATGAAAACCTAATTATGCAGCCACTTCTGTAGCAATACAGTTTTTAGTATCCAGGAAAATTAAAAGTGTCTTCTGCTGGTAATAAGATTATAATACTCTTTAATAAACAATGGGGTGAGAGTCAAATGCGTACTTTTCTTACTCACTTCAATGCATCGAAAGTATAACGGTTAGTCAAAGGATGGTACACATTTCTGACTCTCGCCACATATAGTTGCTGCATTAACTCACTGCAATGCATCAATAGTATAACGGTTAGTCCAAGGATAGTACAAATTTCTGACTCTTGCCCCATATAGTTGCTGCATTAACTCATGATATTAGAAGTGTAAGTTTTACTCCTACTGGCCATACTGTTATCACTGTAAACTGCTTACATACTGTTATCACTGTAAACTGCTTACATACTGTTATCACTGTAAACTGCTTACATACTGTTATCACTGTAAACTGCTTACATACTGTTATCACTGTAAACTGCTTACATACTGTTATCACTGTAAACTGCTTACATACTGTTATCACTGTAAACTGCTTACATACTGTTATCACTGTAAACTGCTTACATACTGTTATCACTGTAAACTGCTTACATACTGTTATCACTGTAAACTGCTTACATACTGTTATCACTGTAAACTGCTTACATACTGTTATCACTGTAAACTGCTTACACTGTACTGTTATCACTGTAAACTGCTTACATGCTGTTATCACTGTAAACTGCTTACATACTGTTATCACTGTAAACTGCTTACATACTGTTATCACTGTAAACTGCTTACATACTGTTATCACTGTAAACTGCTTACATACTGTTATCACTGTAAACTGCTTACATACTGTTATCACTGTAAACTGCTTACATACTGTTATCACTGTAAACTGCTTACATACTGTTATCACTGTAAACTGCTTACATACTGTTATCACTGTAAACTGCTTACATACTGTTATCACTGTAAACTGCTTACATACTGTTATCACTGTAAACTGCTTACATACTGTTATCACTGTAAACTGCTTACATACTGTTATCACTGTAAACTGCTTACATACTGTTATCACTGTAAACTGCTTACATACTGTTATCACTGTAAACTGCTTACATACTGTTATCACTGTAAACTGCTTACATACTGTTATCACTGTAAACTGCTTAAACTCAAACACTAGCTACTTTACACTTGAGCTTCTCAGGATATAAAGTAAAGTAAAAAAGAAAGTAAAGATCCCTTTTCATGCCTTTAGGCGCATCGGGCATAAGGGAAGAGCACCCATATTTTTACAGACTAATCGGCACTAGGTGGGTAATGTGGTCAGCATTATGCAGGCCATCTTTACTTCTCCAGAATAGCCATCCTGGTACCAATTTTAGGCTGGGTTGACCTGCGACGCCCCATACCATGAAAAAAATCAATGCAGCCAGCAGTGGGATTCTATTGCGGTACATTGGAATTACGAGCCAGACTCGCAACGCCTAAGCCACCATCGCCGCAAAGGATATATAGAGTTACAAGTTATAACAGGCCGGTACGCAACTGAAAAGGCATTTGACAGAACAGACAGGAATAAAGAATGGGGAATTTCAAAAAAGTTATGTTGTGAACATGCAACTAATGAACATATGTAAAAGCTTGTATAACAACAGTGAATGTACTATTAGGACAAATGGAGGACACTCAGAACCAATCACCATAAAATCTGGAGTGTGGCAGGGCTGTGTCCTATCTCTTTTACTCCTTACAACTTACTGACAATATCTGTAGAGAAACCAATCTGAAAAGGACTATAATACATCAAGGAGAAGAACTAAAGCCAAACAGTTCCATCAAAGAACTACTATTTTCAGATGACCATGCACTAGCTGCTACTGCAGAAACAAAACTGAAAAACCATATAAAAGATTTAAACTAAATTTGCAAAGAACATAACATGAAAGTTAACACTAACAAAACAGAGATCATGACCATAGCAAAGTCAACAAAAAAATAAACATCCAGCTTAAAGAAAACCCTCTGAAACAAACGAAAACTGCAAATACCTAGGAAGCATAACATCATCAGTCAGCAAAACAGAAGATGAGAACAATGACAGATGTAACAGAGCAAACCAACTTATTAGGCAAATGACACCAGTACTAAGAAAACAAACTTGTGTCAGTAGAAAACAAAAGAGCACTCTGTGATAGGGGTTCTCATACTTTTTTGCAGCGGCATTCTTGTCAGGCTAAAAAAAAATTTGCGGCCCACCTACACATAAAGCAGTTAAATTCTTAGGAAAAGAAGAAAAAATAGTGCACATTTAATGTTCTGTTGTCTTTAATGTGAGGAATGAAACTGTTTTAGATGAATTTTTAGAAATTCTCTCTATATTGGATGACCCTACCTGAAGAGATGAAGCATGGTGTTTGAAGATTTCGAAACCTGTTTGTACTAAATCAGAATGATTGCATTCCAGATGACTCTTTAATTTGGAGGGAACCAAATAGCCATTCGCAACACTTCTATGGCAGTTAACGCACTACTTTTTCTGTGCCTGTTCGCTCCCAACCGAAATAAAGCCAAACAAAGAAAGTTAGCTAGGATAATATTTTCTTAGTTTTCCTGTGATTATCTTTTGGTTTTGAGTTGTCTTTCGGCGAACTGAGGCAGGCCAACTTGGATGGCGTAGGCTTGCAGCTGTCTGCTGAGACAATGTAACTTACTTATAGACTTCACCTTTACGAATTCAGGTAAAGGATCAGTCGCACCTTCAGATAAATAGAAGGACAATTTTTAGCACGTTGCAATTGGCATTTTATGCCGTCCGAAAAACGTCTTGGTGTGAAACAAACAATAAACTGTTTTCGATACTGGCAAGGGAAGACAACTTGAATTTTAACTCTTAAGTATGTGCATGCCTTCTTTAATAATGTCACAATGTTTAGCCGACTTTTCTTGATTACTGTCGCGGCACCCCTGGCATACGCTCAAGGCACCCCAGGGTGCTGCGGCACCCAGTTTGAGAACCTCTGCTCTATGACACAATTTTCTTACCAACACTGTGTTACCAATACCAGACCTAGACAATGGCAGAAAAAAAGTGAAAAGTGCTCTCAATATAACAATAGAAGATTACAGAAGGAAAGATGAAATCAGAAGAAGTATGAGTGTAGCAGCAGCTCTGGGTTTCATTAGAAGGCAACAGGTGAAATGGTTTGGCCATGTAACACGGGTGTCAGCAGACAGTATACCCCAGTAGGTAATGATGTACAGACCAGGCAGAAAGCGAACAAGAGACTGACCATGCTAAAACTGGTACTTTCCTGTAAATGATACTACACTTCACCTCCACACCGCAAAGGTTCCAGAGGATTAAAATGAGAACAGACCCAACTAAAAGAGTTCAGTCAGAAGAAGCAAAAATTGGTCCATTACATACAGAAATACACCACAATAATCTTCAAATGAAACGTTTCTGAAATTTTATGGTGTTAAATTATTTTAGGAAAAATGTACATATTCACTGACACGTGGACCAATATTTGATATGGGGTCACTGTGTTAACAAGTAACTCAACCACGCCCACTGTAAGCAAAAGACCATAGATAAAAAAAATAGTCACATTATCGGCGAACTTTCAGCACAAGTCTTAGTAACTGAACTATATCAGTCTAGAAAGGCATAGCCTGTATAATTATGCATTTCATATTTTAAATACAATATCTGCAAATTACTATTTAAAAAAATCATCTTCTCTTCTCGGATCTCTATCTATTGAATTGTAGCAAAGTTATTTACCTCTAGCTTTGCATTGCTCTGAAAAATCGTTTGTGCTTTATGACAAAGCTGTGCGAACGCAGTACTCAAGCAGGTCATTTTCTGACGTCCCTCAAATGTAATCTCACATTGGTCAGGGTCGATTTCTCCTAAAAGCATATCCAAATCAACAAAGGCCTTGTCAAACTCTTTTTCTAAGATTTCTAGCCAGCGGAACGATAGCGTAGCAGCCATGTTTGCGTTTGGTTTGTGAGCAGAAGTAAACATGAGTTGCCTTTCCCTGTTTCGACTTCATGCTCACCTTTCAATCTTTCATGCTCTATCATTTGCATATACCATTCATATGTGTATATATGGGTTTTATTTAATATGTTTAGGGTGTTCCGCTGTGTAATACTATATACAGGAATCTTTTTCGAAAACAAAAAATGTGTATACATATAAGAAGCTTTATTATATGGGTACTTTCCCTTTCCTAAATTCTTTAGCACAGTGCTTTTCAACCTGATGTGCGCGCCCGTTGGTGTCCTTTGGATAATTTCTTCAGGTCATGCTGGTGTGTTGGGAAACGAACAGGCAGACAGACTGGCCGGTAATGCACCACTTTGTGTGAATTGCTGTATGACAAGCTGGATATTGTGAGGGCCTTTTGGGAGCGAGTGAACAATGCAGTGGCACAAATAGATCATTACAGTTTGAGGAGAATGGCGCTGTGGGGAGTTACCAGGCGATCTGGCCGACGCTCAATGCTCTAGAAAGGCGAGACAAATCTATAATTAGACAGTTTCTGGTACCATCGGAATCGCAGCTTCGCTTGCTTCTGAAGATGAGGACAGAGCACTTATGGGAGTGTCTCGGGTGCTGTGATGTCGATTCTTAATTCAACATTGAACTGATGTGGGATTATTTCCCTCTGCCCCTATTCTAATAAACAAATTTGTCACCCAGCTTGTGGTTACATATTCTGTTACATTAAGAGTTTCTGCAGCAATATCACCATCACCAGTCGCTTTATTCTTTGCTAACAAACTGAGTGCTTCTCTGTTTTCCATGCCATTTATCTGTCCTATATTTATTGATAATATAGTCATGTAAGGAAGCCGCCGTGGTGTAGTGGTTAGGACGCTTGCCTGCCATCGCAAGATCGTAGGTTCGGGTATAAACTTTTATACATGCGGGATGCAATTTTTCGTTTTTTTGAAGCCTAACCCAGTCTTCTGTAGGAGGCCCTGAATATATCCAAGGCAGAGATATGGCCTAGCCGTAGATATGGCATGGAGGCTGAAAAGGGTTTCTGGGACCTTTCCACTGGTGATCCTCATCCGCAATGTGGCACTTTTTGTCACCATGTGTTTATCGCTTGCGTGATCTCCTGGTGGGGTAAAAAGTCAGTCAGTAGGTTCGGGTCCTGGTGGTACTGGAATTAAAAACAAACTGCTTGGCTTCCAGGTTAACCCGCACTTGAATCGGTATCAGGTGAGGTCTTGGGCAGTAAAGGCGGCCAGCGTAATGCTGACGATATCACCCACCAAGTGCTGATTAGTCTGTAAAATTTAGTTCTAGCCCCATATGACCAATACGCTTGAAGGTGTGTAAAGGGTCATTTTCTTCACTTTGTTATCATTTTAGCCTCTTCATCAAAATCGATTAATTCTTGTGGATAAGGTTTACCTAATATTTCTTGGATGTGTTCCTGACTTTGAACATTGATTTTTTCCAAAGGTACCTGGATCAGGGAGCCGAGATATGGTAATGGCTAGACGCTCACACGCCGAAAGTCTTAGGGTGCAATCCGCATCATCTGAATTTATTATTGTTATTATTATTATTATTATTCAAATTAGATTTACCCTATTTTCATGAGAGCTGATAGACTGAAATGTACAGTACATATTGAGAGAATGTCAGATGACAGAGAGGTAAAAACTGTATACACAAGGGAACTGAATGGTCGTAAACTACAAGGCAGACCAAGAAGACGACGGAGAGATAACGTCTAAACAGACCTGTAAACACTTGGTGCCACCAACTGGAAAGAGAAGGCCAACCAGAGAGATGAGTGTAGGCAGGTGATATCTGCAGCAATGAACCACAAGGGATCGGAATGCAGAAGAAGAAGGAGAAGAAGTCTTACCTTCCAGGTTAACTCAACCTGGGTTAACTGGGTCATGATCATCATGTGATATGCCGGTAAACGTAGATTGTCATGCTTCGACATTTCACATGATCAGAATCATGGACTAGGCCAATGTTTGTTGTCTTGCCACATCCATGCGGTCAGGTCATTCAGAGGTCCATCTCTCTGCCCCTCCTGCTCTCTTCCCGCCAATCTCACCAGTCGTCCACCAAGTTCTCAAGTATCCTCTCCCTCCATAGCCCGGCTACAATAAATAATTTAAGAAAAATGTAAAAACCCCTTCTCCACGCCTTTAGGCGTATAGGGCACATAGGGCTAGACCTATTATTTATTTACCAATCGGCACAAGATGGGTGATGTGGTCAGCATCACATCGGCTGGATTTACTTCCCGGGACTGCACCTTGTACCCACTCAAGGTTGGGTCGACATGGGAGACATGGTCATTCTGAAAAAAGTCCGGCTCCACCAGGGAGCGACCCCACGACCTTCCAATTCGAAGACTAAAACCTTACTCACCGAGTACCGACTGGTCTACAACAACATGAGTCTAGCATCATATGCCATGTGCGCCACAAGTGTGAATATCGTCTTTTACCTGCTTACTAACTTACCTAATTAAATCTGCAAAGGTAGAGGTGAGAGGAATAGTCTCCATTGTATCGGGTTTTATCCCATATGGCTTAGTTCTCAGCAGAACAGAGATAGCTGCCTGCCAAGAGCGTCGTACAGAGCACGACATACGTAGCTTCGGCGACGATTTCCGGGGATGTCCTTAGAGATTGCACTCATAAACTGAACAGCGAAACGAACCCTCTACCTCCAGAGCAGGAAGCAAACGGCTTGACCACTTCGCCACGGAGACCCCCAGTTAGGCCTAAAGAGTACCTAAGAGGTCTTTCACTCGAAGGCCTTATAGAATTAAGAAAAGGAGGTTATACAGTGGGACCTCGCTTAAAGAGCATAATTCGTTTCCAGAAACATACTCGTTAAGAGAAACACTCATTATGTGAAACAATTTTTCTCATATAAATTATGTAAAATACGATAATGCGTTCCACGTCGAAAACAATACTCACAAAATGCTATGTATAACGTTTATTCAAAGAAAATTGTACACATTTTGATAAGTAGAGTGAATCATATTTGTCTTTTCTTCAAACGCGGAAAGAACCCACCTGGAATGCGAATTCGATTTGCAGAAAAAAAAAAGTCGAAATAAATGTGATAAATATCTAATAATTTTTTTTCACTAAAAATATGTCCGGAAACATTTGTTTTTACCGACGCTTCAAAATTTTGCCAAAATGCGACACATCACTATCATTAAATAAATTTGCAACGCGTCTAGCCACTTCCTAATTAGGGCGATGCTTCTGAATATAAGATGCAACAGTTTGCCATGCTTTCAGCATTTTTCTTATTTCGCCAGAAGATTGTTGCTTTTCTGTTACCTCCTCCTCCTCTGACAAACTTCTTGCTGTGAAACAAAATGCATCTCCATAAGCTCTTGGGTGGTCACCTGATGGCTGTGCTCTTCACAAGCTTTTCGATATCACTGTTATCCACCTACAATCCCATGATAGTGGCCAAAGACACAATCTCGTTGACTACAGGTTCCACAGGTACTGTCTCAAACCCCTCAAAGTCACAAATCGATAACGCTCTCCGGCCAAAGCTTCTTCCAAGCAGAAGTTAGGGTTCTCTTGCTAACCCCTTTCCCCGCCTTGTCGAGCATCCTGAGGCAGGCAACGACGTGGAAGTGATTTTTCCAAAACTCTTTGAGAGTAAGGTTGGTCCCTTTAGTCACCTGAAAATAATGCTCGAAGAATACTTTAGTGTAGGGCTTCTTAAAGTTAGAAATAACTTGCTGGTTCATGGGCTGGAGCAACGGAGTGTTGTTGGGAGGCAAAAACTGGATCTTGATGAACTTAAATTCTTCAAAGAGGTTATTTTGTAGGACTAGAGGATTCATGTACATAAATCACAATATAACACAAGTTTGAGAAAACGTGTAATCACGTTAAGCAAAATGTGTAATCACGTTATGCAAGTCATTTTTTTTTTTTTTTTTGCAATTTGTTTTGCTCGTTATGCGAATTAGTCGTTATGAAAGGTGCTCGTTAAGCGAGTTTCTACTGTACTCTCCCACCCCGGACGTTGGGTAGTGGAATGAACATCTACCCGACTCAGACAAGGACGAAAAACTTATTTGACCCGTGTTTAAGATAAGGTCTTCATCTCTATTTTTTTAGGGTGCTTGCTTATGTGGAACAAATTTTCTTTCTACGACAGCAAAATGTGCACACTTAAAAAACGGCCAGAAGCTTGCACTGGCGCTCTGCATCTCCCCTTAGCGGAATCAGTGAGGCACTTATATCCTGTGCTCATCTTCCTATCGGTCGGCCCCTGCCCCCCCCCCTTTTTCCATTTTCCTGGCACCATGATTTCTGTTATTATTTTGCAAAAATCCGCCATGGCGCTCGATATGACCAAAATATTTCTGCTTTAGAGAAAAGATGCTGTTTATTAGCCATATCATCCTTGATGTTCATATCTTTTAAAATGCTAGTATTTCTTCTATTCTTTGTCCATGGTATTCTGATAATATTTCTACAGCATGTTTAGAATTGTTCAGCCCCAACAAACAGCTTCGTACGCTTGATCATCATGTGATTTCATTTGACTGCGAGCGGTCTTCGTCTCCTTTGACTGATGAACAACAGTGAATGAAGTGATCACCAAGCAGCTTAATACAGTTAAGTTCACTTGAAAAACAAATTAAGGCTTTTTGAAATATGAGTCTACAGAAAGTTAAGAATTTTAATCTTCTTCGTCGTCGTGTTCACCGGTTATTCATCAGTGTTTTACCCTGTCTGGACTTCAGGTTATTTTGTAACCATCAAGTGCCCCAGTATAACTATATAGTTGAACGGGGTGTCTGGGATTTGTACCTAGGGGATTCTCATCCTAGTAGTGACACTTTGTGTCATGGAGTTTTAATCTTCCAGTGTGCAATCCTAGAGGGGTTCAATTTCACTCACTCGCGTTTATCAGGTGTAAAATTCGGCGGATAAGTTATGGTTGTTCGGACACTT